ATTAGCACTCATTCCTCATTTTCCCCTAGGTCCCTCATTTTTTTTTTAATTTAAAAGTTTGATTAAAACAAGCACATTATATAATAGCATGGCCTAGGCAACCATTAACCTATTTTCTAAATCTGTAGATTTCACTATTTTGGACAGCTCATGTAAATGTATTTATACAAAATGTTGTCTTTTGTGACTGTTGTCGTTTAATTTGCATGTTTTCAAGATTCAACTATGTTTTAGTATGCATCAATTCTTCATTTTTTCAACTGCCAGATAATATTTCATTATATGGATATATCATTATTGTTTATCCATTCATTAGCTGATGGATAACTTGGGTTGTTCCTATCTTTTGGCTATTATTTTTTTTAATGTTCATTTTTTTATTTTTGAGAGAGTGAACGTGGTAGGGGCAGGCAGAGAGGGACCACTTAGCAGAGAGCCCAAAGTGGGGCTTGAAATCGCTAACCACAAGACCATGACCTGAGCTGAAACCAAGAGGTGACTGCTTAACTGTCTGAGCCACCCCTCTTTTGGCTATTAATAGTGCTGCTCTGAACATGGGTGTTCAAGTTTCTGTGTGAATGTTTTCATTTCTCTTGGGTATCTTCCTTGGAGAAGAACTGCTGGGTCATATGGTAATTCTATGTTTAACTCTTTAAGGAGCTGTCACAGTGTTTTTCATAGTGGCTGCAGCACTTTACATTACCAATAGCAGCATATGAAGGTTCTGATTTTTCTACATCCTTGTCAACACTTGTTGATTATAGCTATCCTAGTGGATGTGACGTGGTATCTCATTATGGTTTTCATTTGTATTTCCCTGATTAATGATATCAAGAATCTTGTTACAGGCTTATTGTCTATGTATATACCTTCATTGGAGAAATATCTATTTAATTCTTTTGCTCCTTTTTAAATTAATCTTTTTATTATTGAGTTGTATTTTTTATATATTCTAGATACAAGTCATTTGTCAGATATGTCATCTACAAATATTTTCTCCCATGCTGTGATTGTCTTCTTGCTTTCTTGATGTTGTCTTTTGAAGCATGAAAGATTTTAATTTTTTTTGAAGTCCAATTCATCCATTTCTTCTTCTGTTTGTGCTTTTGATGTCACATCTAAGAAACTGTGGTCACAAAAATTTACTTTTCTTCTAAAAGTTTTATAGTTTTAGTTCTCACATTTAGATCTGTTATCTACTTGAGGTAACTTTTGTGTATGATGTGAGGTAGGGTTCATATTCATTCTTTTGTGTGTGGATATCCAGCTCTCAACACCATTTCTTAGTAGACTATTTTTTCCCCATTAGAATTATCTTGGCATGCTTGTTAAAAATCAACTAGCCATAAATGTGAGGATTTATTTCTGGACTCTTAATTCTAACTCTTTATCTACATGTCTCTCTTTATCCAAGTATCACATTGTCTTCTTTGTATATTATGAAATCAGTAAGTATGAGTCCTATGATTTTGTTTTTTCTCAAGACTGTTTTGGTTATTCTGATCCCTTTGTAGTTCCATATGAATTCAAGATTCAGCTTTTTCATTTCCACAACAAATAACAAAAAGTAGCTGGGATTGTTAGGAATTGCTTTGAATCTACAAATCTATTTGCAACGTACTACCATTCTAACAATTTTAGACTTTGTGATCCATGAACACGGGATGCCTTCATTTCATTTAGATTTTCCTTAATTTCTTTCAGCAATGTTTTATAGTTCTCACAGTAAAAGTTTTATACTTCTTTTGTTAAATTTATTTCTGGGTATTTTATTTTCTTTGGTATTATAAGTGGAATTATTTCCTTAATTTTTGTCTTTTTTATTGTTTGTGCATAGAAATATAATTGATTTTTTATAAGTTGATACTATATCCTGCAACCTTATTTAACCTTTACTGAGTTCTTTAAAAAAATTTTTTTAATTTTTATTTATTTTTGAGAGAGAGAGAGTGAGTGAGTGATCAGGGGAGGGGCAGAAAGAGAGGGAGGCACAGAATCTGAAGCAGGCTCTAGGCTCTGAGCTGTCAGCATAGAGCCCGATATGGGGCTCAAACCCACTAACTGTGAGATCATGACCTGAGCCGGAGTCGGACACTTAACCGACTGAGCCACCCAAGTGCCCCAACCTTTACTGAGTTCTAACAGTTTTTTTTTTTTTATGGTTATTTATTTTTGAGAGAGACAGTGCATGTGTACGGGAAGGGCAGAGAGAGGGAGACACAGAATCCAAAGCAAGTTCCAGGCTCTTGTGAGCCGTGAGATCAGGACCTGAGCTGAAATCAGATACTTAACCGACTAAGCACCCAGGTGTCCTCTAATAGATTTTTAGTTGACTTCTAATTATTTTTTTCATTATACATTTTTGAGTTAATTTTCTTGTGGTTGCTCTAAAGGGCTTGCCATATACATTTTTATCTTCTTAGAATCTTCTCCAGATTTATACTTAATTCCAGTGAGATACTGAAATGTTACTCCTATATGATTCTCTTCCTTCTTCTTTTTGTGCTATTATTTTATACATATTACATCTATATATATATATATATATATATATATATATATATATATATATTATAAACCCCAAACTACACTGGTCTAATTATTACTTCATGTAACTTATGTTTTTTTTAAAGTTGAGAGAAGAAAGAACTATATATTCATGGTTTGTTATATTAATCTTTTCATTACCATTTCTAGTTCTCTATGGATTAGAATTATTTGAGGAAAGCTTTTTCATAATTGAGGAAATATGAAAGATAAAAGATTGTTGAGAGGGTTAATAGAACATTGAAAAGGCAAGAATTAGAAAAAAGAATAGCCTTCAAATCTTTGGAAATTTAGGTGATCTAATTTAAACAATCTAAGCTATCAAAATAATGAATTAATGATAAATTATACACATGCATACTTACTGGCATGGAAATATACTGTTATGTGAAAAAGTGTCACAAATCTATATAATATGATGCCATTTAGCATAGTATGTCTTTTGGTGCAGGGAGAAATAGAGAGGAGGAAAAAGAGTGGGGAGAGAAGGAAAGGGAGGAGGAGGAGTGGAAGGATATGTACAAATATTAAATATGGGTCAGGGAATTATGAATGAATTTCATATTAAGGTTTTTGAATGTATTTTAGATATTTATATATTATATTTTAATATTTTCAATATTAAATATAAAAAACTCTAATGTATTTTGTATTTGTGATAAAATAAGCTTAACTAACCCACAGAAGTGAGCAAAAGACATGAAAAGGCAAGTTGTTTACAATGAAATAAAAATGGCTGTATGGTAAGAAAAAAATGCAGCCTCATTAGTAATCAAAGAAATGCAATATAATAGTGAATTTTTAATTTATCAAATGGAAAATATTTTTAAGAGGAAAATACCTAGTGTTATTAATATGCTTAGTATCTTGTTGATAAAGGTATAAAATGATAAAATTTTTCTAAAGAACAACTTAATTTTTATAAATTCCCTTAAAAATATCTATAGCCCTTTTAACCTAACAATTCCATTTTGGGAATATTTATTTATCTATTTATTTACTTATTTTTTAGAAACTTTTAAATTTTATTTTTGAGAGATAAAGCACGAATGGGGGAGAGGGGCCGAGAGAGAGATTGAGAGAATCTCGAGCAGGCTCCATAATCAGTATGGAGCCCAATGAAGGGCTCAATCCCACAACCCTGGGATCATGACCCCTGTTGAAATAAAAATGGGGTGCTCAACTGAATGAGCCACCCAGGTACCCCTTGGAAAATTTATTTTCGTGAAAAAAGTAGTGAGTGTTACAATTATTTTGCTGCAACTACTGTTTTGTAAAGCAATCCATAAAAATTTTGGAGTGTGTGCTAATTAAGACTTAATCCAATAGAGCTAATCTAAATGTCTAACAAGTATGTAAAAATATATGAAAAAGATGGTACAATATATACCAACTTTTTTAAACAGCATCTTTTTCTAAGTGTTGGAATTAAAATTTATTTTCTTCTGCTTATCCATGTTTTCTAAATTGTCTCTAATGGATAATAAATTATTGTTTGAAATGGAAAACAAAGTTATTTAAAAATAATCTAATTGGCTGCCCAAGAAATAGCTTAGATTTCTACCTCACTGAGTTAAAAAAATTTTTTTTAATGTCTATTAATTTTGAGAGAGAGAGAGAGAGAGAGAGAGACAGAGCATGAGCTGGGGAGGGATAGAGAGAGAGGGAGACACAGAATTCATAGTAGTCTCCAGATTCTGAGCTGTCAGTACAGAGCCTGATGCGGGGCTCAAACTCATGCACCATGAGATCATGACCTGAGCGAAAGTCTGATGCTTAACCCACTGAAGCACCCAGGCACCCCACTACTTCACTGAGTTCTAAACCATATATCCAATATTTAGATAAATATTTCAACCAACATGCACACAGGTGAGTCAGTTATACTAGCAAGGAGCACCAAAAACTGTAGCCTCTTCCTCCCTTGGTACTAAGCACACAGTACGTACTGGGTATTGTGTCACACAAGGTGGGAATAAAAAGAAAAGAGGGACTTAGATTTTTGGCTTAAATAAGAGAGTATTGGCAAGAAACAGATGTGTAAATTCACAATTACAAATCAAGGTATGTTGGAGAGTGCCAAGGAAAGGGAGAGATGATCCTAATTTGTCTATACCAGTCATCCACAATTTGCTCTTATTTCTCTCTGAACCATCAAGATCATAAAACAACAAAAATTCGGAGTATATATTCCTACATTCCATATAAAGTATAAAGTAAGTCCTACTTACTCCTCAGGGCCAGCTCACGTGTCACTTCACATTTGTTTCTGGAGGTAAAAACACTTCTCTTGATATTTTATGACTATGGATTCAGTCTGAGAGGGCAGAGACTAAGTCTAATCCAGCTTGGTACCTCTAGGTCAAGATGGCATCCACTGGATATGCATCATCAATTTTTCAAGCTTTGTTCAACTGTTAAATGTTACTGGAAAGGAATCTTAGAAGACATACCTGGTTGGGTTCCTTTTGTCTTCCTCAGAGATCAAAAACCAAACAAAATCTGCATAGCTCATTCTTCCCTCTTTCTGTACTGTTTTTCCCCTGAAGAAAACATATCATTATAAAGTTTCCTCAGCAATTACTAGGATAAATTTAGTAGGATGACAGTCTAAGAAATAAAGCAACACCTTCTTTGGAAATTGAGTTAAAAAATTAGAAGGCTATAACTAAAATTTAAATAAACAGAAAAAAATTAGAAGGCTGGAAATCTTACAAAGGTTACAAAACCTATCCTGTTTTCAGTGGCCTAGAAGGGTGAAACCAGAAGACATTTGCAGGTATGAGGAAAGAGGTCTCATTTCTAATTTGAATGCAAATAATCACCAGGATCAAATACTTTCACCTGTATTTAAGTAAAGGACTAATGTCCGTATATAAAAGAATTACTGCTGTCTTGTATGAAGCCATGACATGCAGGAAGCTGTGCTAAAATGAGATTGTTACAGTATTACCTGTAATACATTTTTAAACTCAGATGGTTTTTCTTACCTTGTTACTGCCCCAGAGAATATCCTTTCAATAATTCTGTTTGATGAAGCTAAATGTAAACAAGAAAGTACAAAGCTAGTTAGGAACATGTTCCATAAAGGCGATACTTTTGGCAAATTTATTTTCAGTAGCTATGAGCTAAAATATAATAATCTTCCACAATGAGAATATGAGTATTTAAATTTTTACTTATATATAATTTATATTTTTGAAAGTAAGAATTTGAGGTGGCATAATCAATCATTAAAAAAAGAACAGGCAAATGATTATGTCTGACAGCTGTGATGTACTAATACAGTTGAGCAGCATCAAGTTAGTTCTGAACATCCTGACAACTAAGACAAAAATGTATATAATTTGTATTGATCTTATATCCAAGACAATTTTCCTCTAAAACAAGACAAATTTTATCCTAGCATTAAATTCAAGGGGAACTGATCAGCAGCTCCTAAAGATAAGGGACTTAGAGTAAAACAATGGAGAGTGCTTTCAAGCAGAATTTTATAAAAGATACCTAAACATACCATAAACATACTTTTCTCATATTTTTATTCCATAAAAGTCCAGGACATAACATAACATATAATTTTTAGAAATTCCATCAGTAAGTTTTATTTAGAGAGACAATTTTAAGATAGTATGTTGCTTTTGATGGTAGATCCTAGAGTATCTATAGTAGTGTACCTCAGTGTTGGTTCAAAATAACCAAAGCCTTTAGTTTTACCAAAAGGCTATGTCAATAGAGCTTAGACCTAGGGATTTGGTGAGTACAGAATCTGTTCTTTTAAGAAGAGCCCCAGGCAATGGCACATACACTAAAATTTCCAAATAAGTGATAAAGTCATTAGACAGTAGCTACCAGCATCTAATTCTTCTGCACAGAGTTAGGTACAGTCAACCTAAAGGTAAAATTAATCTGGCTGAAGAATGTTGGGAATATGGGTGTCAGTATAGCCATGCCTGGCCACAAAGCTTACATAAAGACTCTCCAGACTTTGTTGAACATTGGCTTATGGGGTTAATAATTTGTACTATATAGACAAACAGAGGGCTGTACGGGAAAGGCACAGATATTTAATTCCAAAGCTAAAGTCTTTTTTAAATTTGGAAGGTTTACCCTAAAATTGAAGATCATGTTGTCCCATTTAGGGCAGTTTGGTGGGTTGGCAATTACACAGTTTTGGTGGCCTCTTCATCAAGCAGGCTTATTAGATGCCTACTTTTCTGGACATTATCACTTTATTTTTTTAATGTTTTTTATTTATTTCTGAGAGAGAAAGAGACAGTGTGAGCAGGTGAGGGTCAGACAGAGAGGGAGACACAGAATCTGAAGCAGTCTCCACGCTCTGAGCTAGCAGTCAGCACAGAGCCTGACGCGGGGCTCAAACCTACGAACAGTGAGATCGTGACCTGAGCTGAAGTCAGACGTTTAACCGACTGAGCCACCCAGGTGCCCCTGGACATTATCACTTTAATATGCCTCTAATGAATTGCTATGTGTATGTATACAATATTTTGGAACTTAATGAGAATTATGGTTGTATCAGCTGGAGAGAGTGCTTTAGAGCCCATAAGGTTTTGCATGACCTCATGTTACACAGATGATCTGGCCACTGGTGATTAGAAGGTTAATCTAATAATACAGCTAATAAAGCTGACCTGATACACCTGTGAATATCTCCATCTTTATGCTATTCTGGTGACAGCAAGGTTATGACTATTTGAAGAAGGGAGGTATAGAACTAAAATGCTTGTTCATTAGTAAGTACATCTGAGTATTTTCTCTTGATACCTGGTTGGCACCTGAGAATAGAGAAGGATGCTTTCTTTATATATGGAAAGTTCTATGAAACTTGACATTATATAGAATGAAACTTTTCTTAAGATCTAAACAGTTAATCACAGAGATACCAAATAACAGAAGTGAAATTCAATGTATTTAAGATTTGGACTCTGCTACACCTAAAAGGTTAAAGGCTGATTTAAAATAAATAGCAGTGCCTGAGAAGACATTTAAGAATAGAACAGGTCCCCAAAAGCAAGGGAATCAAGAGCAAAAATAAACGATTGGGACCTCATCAAGATTAAAAGCTTCTGCACAACAAAGGAAACAATCCACAAAACTAATAGACAACCAATGGAATGGGAAAAGATAGTTGCAAATGACATATCAGATAAAGGGTTAATATCCAAAATCTATAAGGAACTCACCAAACTCCACACCCAAAAAACAAACAACCCAGTGAAGAAATGGGCAGAAGACATGAACAGACACTTCTCCAAAGAGGACATCCAGATGGCCAACAGACACATGAAACGATGCTCAGCATCCCTCCTCATCAGGGAAATACAAATCAAAACCACACTGAGATACCACCTCACGCCAGTCAGAGTGGCTAAAATGAGCAAATCAGAGAACTCGAGATGCTGGCGAGGATGTGGAGAAACGGGCACCCTTCTACACTGTTGGTGGGAATGCAAACTGGTGTAGCCCCTCTGGAAAACAGTGTGGAGGTTCCTCAGAAAAATAACAATAGAACTCCCCTATGGCCCAGCAATAGCACTGCTAGGAATTTACCCAAGGGATACAGAAATGCTGATGCATAGGAGCACATGTACCCCAATGGTCATAGCAGCACTCTCCACAATAGCTAAAACATGGAAAGAGCCTACTAAGTGTCCATCAGCGGATGAATGAATCCAGAAGATGTGGTTTATCTATACCATGGAATACTACATGGCAATGAGAAACAATGAAATCTGGCCATGTGTAGCAACATGGATGGACCTTGAGGGTGTTATGCTGAGCGAAATAAGTCAGGCAGAGAAGGACAAATATAATATTTTTGTTTTCTGATAAAAGAAAGCACACAAAAATCACCTGCAGAGAAAATATCTATTCTGGATCTAAATTCCAAAAAGTAAGTTTTTTATTAGTCCTTGAAAACACTGGCAAATTAGAAATTTTCATCCTTGTCTGTTTATAAATACTGTAAAATAAGAAACTTACAGGGTGTATATATACTCTCTTTCAAATAAACTCTACATAGGAATGGATCTAACTCAACTCATCACAAGAAAATACACATCACAGAGTGCCTGGGTGGCTCAGTTGGTTAAGCAGCTAACTCTTGATTTTGGCTTAGGTCATATTCTCAATCACCTGAGTTTGAGCCCCACATGGGGCTCTCCGTTGACAGTGCAGAGCCTGCTTGGAATTCTTTCTTTCTCTTCTCTCTGCCTCTCCCCTGCTTGCTCGTTCACTCTCTCTTTCTCTCTCAAACTACACTAAGCTAAACTAAAATACTATAAAGACTCATTAATTAATCAAAGCAAAGACTCTAACTGCTTACTTAGGTTCTTCTCCTACACCTACCTTCTAAATGAAAAATTGATACCTTTTCTCATTCCCACTTAAAAATTCTTGGCTCTTTAAAGAGGACTTGATGGGGCACTGGGGTGTCTCAGTTGGTTGACTTTAGCTTAGGTTGTGATCTCATGGTTTGTGAGTTCGAGCCCCACACTGAACTCTGCTGTCACTCTGGAGCCTGCTTCAGATCCTCCTTCCCATCCCCTTTGTACCTCCCCACTCACTCTCAAAAAATAAAAAAAGTAAAAAAGAGGACTTGATAAAAAAATTTAAGAAATGGGAATTTCCCATTCATATAACAATTCATACAACGCTTGCCGTCTTCAAAATAGTTAAGTCTTAACAACTATAAAATACTCACCCTGGTCATTGTATCGAGATAAATCAGCCTGGCTGATGTAGAGGTCATGATCACTGTCTAGCTCCCAGAATTTACAATAAATAACATAGAAATGTTCATAGGAGAAGTAATCTGTGATTTGGTTTATATCTTCCTCTTCTTCCAAAAGGGCTAGAGTCTGAAATAGAATATGAAGAGAAGCATTAATTTATTTTAAAATTATGAAAACCAGCTTTGGCCATTAAAAATTTTTGTTTTAAATTCAATTAAAATTTTTGGTTTTAGTACTAAACCAGGAACTGTAATAGGCAACCTCATCCTACCTTTAATCAACTGATCAACCTATAAGCATTTATAAGCTCTATATTATGCTTAGCAAAGGGTTAGATGCCGTGGAGGATTTATTTAAAAGCAGGGAAAGGGAAAGACTGTTACCAAGGAGACTGCATCCTGTCAGAGGTCCCCAAACTAGCAAACCAGAACAGATAAGAGGCTGAATTAGATGGTCATAAGCTGACATGGCTTTTAGCTTTCCAAAATTATGAAGACTGGGCATCTATTATATAGGATAAAAATCTACATACAGGGTTTGGTTTTGTAATGCGATCACATTTACTATAAAGGTGACCTATGCATAGCACTGTACTGATGTGCAGTGGCCTGGTGTGAAAGGCATGGAGGATGGAGCTGCAGGGCTCTAAGCTGGAAGCAAATCGGGGTCTCCCCTAACTCACTGTGTGCCCTTATGGAAAACACCAGAAACAATAATGTTGAACCCAGGCTTCTTACAATTATAAATGAGCAGATAAATAGAGATGTTTTCAGAAATGAAAGATTCAGAAAGATATAAGAAACCATATAAACAGAAAAAACAAAAAGAGATGGCAGAAGTCAGATCAGATATATCAACAATCACAATATTAAAGTATTTTCAGATTGAGTGTAAAAACCAACCCACCCTAAAAACAGATCTAGGTATATGCTATCCATAAGAGAGAAGTCTAAAATAAAATTTAAAAGGAAGGTTAAAAAAAGACAAATATATACTAGCTAAATCTTAACAACAAAAATTGTCAATATGATTAGAAAATAAAGTGGAATTCAAGATGAAAAACATAAGGAAGAAAGATAACTATTTCATAATGCAAATAAATTATTTCAATAAAAATTATGTTCTAAAATACATATGGGAAACCAACATGCCTTCACAATTTGAGAACATAAATTATGAGAATAAAAGTACTTAATGGAAGATTCTGCTCTCAGTAAAAATTATAAAGTCTACACAGAAACAAAGGAAAACCATGACATGGTAAAAGCAAAATATGGAATATAAAATTATACACAATAAGAACTGTGTAAAATCCATTTAATCCGCATATATATATGAGACTAGAAAAACACATACAAAAATATTATTAATTGTATTAGAGTGATAAAATAGGATTTTTTTTGCTTTCCAAACATGGCTTGTATTTTATAAAATGTTCTTTAACATGTATAAAGCAGAACATGTACAATAAAATCTTGAGAAGCAGCTCTCATTTTAACCTATTGGATTGTCGTAAAATGAAAAAGATGATGTCTGCTGTTGGTGAGTGTGTACGTATGAACTAGTACAGGTTTTTGGCAGCACCTATCAGACTGAAAATGCATATACCATTTGACCCAAGATTCTCCCTCCAATGGCCTATTCTAGAAAAATCCTTTTTACAAATTTTTTAATGTTTATTTAGTTTTGAGAGAGAGAGAGAGAATGAGAGAGAACACGCATGAGTGAACGTGAGCAGGGGAGAGGCAGAGAAAAGAAACACAGAATCCAAAACAGACTCCAGGCTGTGTGCTGGCAGCACAGAGCCCAATGTGGGGCTCAAACCCAGGAACCATGAGATCATGACCTGAGCCAAAGTTGGATGCTTAACCAACTGAACCACTCAGGCGCCCCTATTCTATGAAGATTCTTAACAAAAGGAAAGTACAAGGACGTTCACTGCATCTTTCCAAAGGAAAAATATGAAAATGACTTCAATGTCTACAGGGAAATATGTAATTTAGTTACAGTAGAGCCATACCATAGATTATGCAGAATCATAAGAATGAGATAGATTTATGTGAATGGAAGTGAAAAGAATGTCAAGATATACTGTTAGTGAAAAAAAAAATTAACAGAATAATGATCTCATATATTAAAAAAAACTCAAAAAGGTAGCCATACAAAATAAAACTGTATACTCCATGTAAACACATAAGGGAATAAAACCACAGATAATGTCGGTTCTGTCTGGGAAAAGGAATGAAATGGCAGGGTGAAGAGACAGTGATTCCTGCTGATTATTCTAGATATGTCATGTATTTGAATGCTTAATGAGCATATACAATGTGAGCACACATTCATGAATAATGAATTAATAGGAAGAGTAAGGAGAGGGGTAGAGGAGATGGGGAAGAATTAAACCATATTCTAGGAAGAACATATGAGTTCTGTTTCCAATTCAGACACTAACTCGCTGCGTGATCTTACCTGTCATCCAACCATACCTGAGCCTCAAATTTTATCATCAGTTAAAAAAATATGTAGTATAATGCTGGAAACTATAAATTCTAATGAGCTTCAGGAATGTGAGGGATTATCATCATTCTCAAGGAGTAAAGCCTCTTTTATGGAATTATTGCCATCTCGACCCATCCCATATTACCTGATGAGAGAGACAGGCATCAGGTGTTTAATAAATATAACAATGACTGTGATGATTACTATTCATTTTAGAATAAAAAAGGTGTGTATATGTATTATGGGCTGCTCATTTTACCAAATCTTCATTACTTTGTCTTAGATGAAGACAGGGAAAAATAAAGAGTACATAAGGTGGTATTATTACCCTACGCTTCATTTAGTGTGATTCACTGAAAATAAAGTATTTCCTTTCAACTCTGAACAATTCTTTCTTTAGGTTAATAGAAGCTTCAACAATCAGGTATAAAGATTACTTCAGTAAAAGGCTCCCACTAGTGGTCAACACTTTCTTATTAGGTAAAATAAATGAAGTAATTAAATGAAATGTATTTTTTCTTAAAAGGAATTCTTAATATTCTTCTCCAGTCCAGCAGAAGCTGGATGGAGAGTCATTGCCAAAAGGATCATGTTGAAATCCTTCTATTCCTTTTGCAAAGCCTTCCCTAACCCAGCCCGTCAGGCTATATCACTGGTCACTCTCTGCAGAGCACTGGCCACTTTAGACTGTTCTGTTTTAGACTTCAGACACTTTCATGCTTATGGGGCTTTGCTTATACTGCTCCCTCTATCTGGAATCCCCTTCTAATTTTTTATTTTGATAAACTCCCAATATCCTCCAAGGTCAAGATCACATGCCAATCCTTTTGTGAGGCCTTCTATGCATATTTGTTATCCATTTCTGTGGAAATTTTCCTCAGGTGTGACTGTGCACTTTTCTTTTACTCCATATGCCTTGATACAAAAATCCCTGGTTTTCCACCTTTGTTACCCCCAACATATCCCAGGTTATCTGATAAACACTTAATGACTGAAAGTAACAAAAGTGCTTTGCATGCAGTAAGCACTCAAGTATTTGTTAAATGAACTAAGAGTATTATTTAAATTGCTTTTTTAGGTTTATTTATTGAGAGAGAGAGAGAGAGAACGTGCGTGCGTGCGTGCGTGTGTGTGTGTGTGTGAGCGAGCAAGTGGGGAAAGGGCAGAGGGAGCTAGCAGGCTCCGTGCTAGCGCGGAGCTCAACACGAGGCTCAATCCCACGACTGTGAGATCATGACATGAGCCGATATCAGGACTCAGAGGCTTAACTGATGGAGTCACCCAGGCTCTTAATTATTTTTTATATATGAATTCCAATGAGAGACCTACTTGCAAAAAGTTGCTTTTTCTTATCTCTGTCGAAGTTATTTTTCCACTCCAAGATCTGTTGACTGTGTAGAATATTCTTTGAATAACCTGGTTCCAAAAGGAAAACAAACCAAATTAAAAAATTGAAGATACTATTACTTTACCAAAAGCCATCTTATGAATGTATCTTGAACAAAAAGCTATGTTTTGGTTTTCTGATTATGTTAAGTGTAATTTCTAATGAGAATTAATATTGTATTTTAAAAACTTTAACCATGTAATTTGCATCTGCCCCTATAATTCCAAGAAGAATAAAAAGATATTCTTTGCCTATAAGTCTGCATTTCCCAGCTGCCTACATGGCATTTTATTTACCTCGCATCTTATACAATGATGCCTGATTTAAGCAGTGCTTGTTGGGCTGGATGTTTTGGGAAGGCAAATGAGGTAGGAAATACACACTGATTTGGATGAACAATTGGTGGGTCAGAAGAATAGCTCCCAACAGTGTGATTTAAGAGGGCATTATTCTGGTTATTTTAGCCTTACTCATTGGAATCTTAAAGACTTCCAGTCTTCCAGACTCTCTGGAAACTCAAATACATCTGGGATAACTCCTACTGAGTCCATGCTTGGGCATGAACAATTCTGTTATCAGCTAGGGTTTTAAAGAGCTTAACAACAGATGTTGTTAAAACTCTGGAGAAGACCGTGGACAGGATGAGAAAGGAAGGAATGGGTAGCAACTGTGTTTGAGACTGACGACGTGTGTGTTGTGATGTAGGGGAGGATTGTAGAAGGAAGACAAGGCTGCCATCCTGGAGAGAGGAGGCCTCAGTGTTTTCTTAACAATTTTACTTGACAATACTTGTCATTTTCTTGTCTTTTTGTTAATAGTCATTCTACAATTATATTATAACAGACTATTATCAATTATATTAAATTATAACAGACTATTCTAATAGTCTGTTAGGTGATATCTCATTGTGGTTTTGATTTGCATTTCCCTGATGACTGGTGATGTTGAGGGCCTTTTCCTGTACCTGTTGGCTATCTGTATGTCCTCCTTAGAAAACTGCTTGATAAATTAATGAGGTTTGGGAGTTGTGTAACAAAGACCTTCACGTTGTACCTGTGATAGAGACATATGGTTTGGATTTGTAACTAATTGAATAACTATTCAACATTGTAAACAGCAGATGGATGCCAACCCAAGAAAGGCCTCTAATTAGTATTTCATATATATCAGTACTGTTACAATTTATAGATAGATGGCATATAAAGTGTACAGAAAACATAAAACAGAGAAGGGTAGCTATATTCAAAATTATTATAAAAGATATGTTTATTTTAGTAAGTTTTACTCTTGAGGTAAAAATAAGACCAGAGTGTACTTGTGACCATGATCTGAATGGCTATCAGGTGGAAGAAGCAGTTGACTTATTGTGTGTTGTACTAGAAGGCACAACTAAAACAACTGGATAGATACTCCTTATACTAAAATGCTTTAAAATTGGCCCCATGAAGCAATGGGTCATGTGAGATAGTAAGGTTTCTTCTCACCACAATTATTTAGGCAGAAGCTGACAGGATTCCTGCAGTAGATTCAAGCTAGGACTAGCTGGTGTCTAGTTTCTCTATTGGCTCCAATCACTCAGAATCTGACTGAGGTGCTTCAGGGCAGAAAATGTGGCCTACTCAACAGTGTATTCTTAACACTAGGTTGGCAGAAGTTCATATAAGAAAGATGGAGGATTTTTAGCACAGAAATTATACATATGAAAATAAATATTAAGAATACCATTTATCATAGTTCCATGACTCTTCTCTCAAGTGCAAGTCAATTTTTTTAAATTTTTTTTTAGTGCAAGTCAATTTTAATACATATTATTACATCAAAGTTTTCTATGTTGAACATATTTTTATCCTTATTTTTAATTTTGATTATACATTTATCTTAAAGTGTGAGTTTCCTACAAAAACTTCATATTTATATACCCTTCAATATTTTATATTATTTTTGGAGGTATTGTGTTACACTGAAAATTATAAAGTTTTAATCTGTATTTATTTTTGCTTATTTTATTATTCGTTTTTTTACAGAATTTTAAAAATTCACAAATGTTTTGACTAAGTATTTCCTATTTTTAGCCTCTGCTAACTTACTTGTCTAATAATATTACAAATGTACCTGGATTCCATTTTTCCATAGTCTAAATCTCTTTATTCAGTTGCCCCACTTCATCAGCACATTTATTGGTTTCCACATTACTGTTTCAGCATTTTAGCTTATTTAGGTAGGGGTACCATCTAGTGGTGAGAATATGGAGCTGCTTAGTTCTACATCAATTACCCTTGTTTTTGAACCTAATTTTGTTCTACCACTCTTAAGTAAATAAAAGAGAAATGAATCCCAATTTAAAAAATAGCAAACAAAATTTAAAAATTAATAATAGTAAGAATAATTGCTTATTACCAGTGAGAGGAATGAAATTTGACTTTTTTTTTTTCCCAAGGGGTCTCCAGTTAATTTGGTAAATTGACTCTTAAGTCAGTTTCCTTTCTTTCTTTATATCTATTGAGCTGGAAACCTCTAATTTACAAGTATAGGTCACAGGAATGCAAATACGTGTTTGGTGGCTGTATCAGACAGGTTTTGATAAGTGGATTGAATGAAGACATAGATTGCTCATTGTAGGTAACCTAAATTCAGATGAACAGACTCAAATGCTGGAAGCATGGTTCTTCTGACAGGAAGTGGTGAAAAGATTCCTAATCCACTGTGGTCAATATGGCTCTAAAAAGTATTTCTTCACAGTCTTCTGCAGAATGTGGACTTAAAAAAATTCTAATATACATTTTTTCCTTTCTCTGTCAAGAGAAGTTCTCAAGGGGAAAGAGTCAAGCTATTAGTGATGAGCAGTCTCCACCACAATTTAGTCATTTAGGAAATATCAGTACCTTGCTCTCAGCAACTAAAATCTTGGCATTTTGGTCTGAAGTGATGGCTTCAGGCCAATCAAGACATTGAATACATCGCTAAGACATCATCTGAGCAAGCCAGAGAAATGTCTTTGCTGCCAGCACCAATGTCACAAAGAAGTATTTTCAATCTCATCGCTTATTTTAAAAACTCATGTGAGCACCTCTTTCCTCAGAAGTCAGCATATGCCAGTTAGGATAAGCAGAATCTTTTATTCACTGGCAATTTCTTTGCATGGCATGTGAAACTGCAAACTCAAGGCTATAATTTGCTACTATTTCCAATTTTCATTTTCATTCACTTTCAAGAGACTTATTTCTCAAATGCCAACTTGTCTCTGGAAATAAAGGAGAATATGGAGTAATTTTGGGTGCATTCTCAAGTAGTGATGTTCTTTTTGCCGTATGCATAGTTGGTGCTGTCTTTCTGTCTAAAAACAGCTGGCAAAATAATTAACTAAACAAATGAAAAAGTCTTTTCCTGTAGCATACGTCTTTAGTGATAAACAGAAATAAAAGTTGCCCAACTTTTCTTCATCATACGAGTGCCACACATAAGCTAATATTTGAGCCATACTTTGTGTCAGTAGTTTCTTCCAACTAAAGAAAGTAAAACAACTGAATAACTCTGGCTTGCAAACAAAAACAATATACTAATTGTTCTACATCATATGCCACTGCGATTATATAACTTTCAGTAGGGTTATATGATAAATTAATTTAGATTTTTCTGAGATATCTGTCTTTATTTTCAAGGCTGATCTTTCTAAGTATCTTAGAAATAGTGTGATCTGATCAGTTTTTGCCATGAGCAGGATGGAGAATGATGCCTCTCTCTTCACTTTTATGCCATTAACAACATTCATTAATTTCATACTAGAAAACCTATTTTGCATTTGTTCTAGAAAAACAGTACTCTGAAATAATGTACAAGTTCCAATGACTTCATGCCATTATTTGACCAGATTTCACAATAGAAAAGGCACTGGAGAGAATAACCAGTCCTTTAATAAAATTTTGTTTCCAGATATTCATGTGATACATTTTATATGCATTTTCCTTATTTATTTATTTTAAAAAATGTTTATTTGTTTATCTTGAGAGAGAGCGAGTGAGTGAGCATGAGTGGGGAAGGGGCAGAGAGAGAGGGAGAGAAAGAGAGTCACAGGGCTCAAACCTACCCAGGCGCCCCTGCATTTTCCTGTTTTAGATGGCACTATGACGTTATTACAATAGATGCACCTATCTCAGTATGCAGAGATTCATAGTCTATAGTCTCATTTGGATCTTGTTGACTATTTATGATATGATGATGTTTTGAATCACCCTGTTATCATTATTTCATTGCAGGTATTTTACACTTTAGTAATTATTTCTGAGTAATGGATTTAGTTTTGTGAACTGGGAATAAAGAAGCATAATAACAGAGTGTAAAATTTAAAGATATCAATAATATGCAAATGCCATGAAAATGTGTCAGCAGAGATAATTGAATCCTGTTAATTGACCAACTTAGTTCTTTTTGTTCAACGATTAACATGACAGAATTTCTAAGAAAATATGAATTATATATGAACAAAACTATTTCATGGCTTTTTATTCTGAAATTATAAAACTTTGTGGGGACCACTTGCTAGATTATCACAGACCATCACGGGTCCAGGGATCATACTTCAGCAAATATCAAACCAGACACGTTAGAAAGAGAAAATTTAGATCTATTTTACAATTCTATTATTTAACATCTTTTCTAAGAATAAATTCCAATAAAAAGTTCTTCTGTAGAGAGCATTTTCTAGGTTGGGCTGGATTACCGCTAAGATCTTTTCCAGCTCTTGAGATTTTAAATTATACTATTAATATGCCCTGGATTTATAGAACAATCAACAATCAGAACCCAGTAATTCCTATGGGATTGAAGCAAGAGTTAATGTGTAGAATTCTTAAGCATACATAATTTCATTTATTCACTCAATAAATACTACTGTATATCTAGTATGTGCCAGTCCTTATTCTAGGTATTGGAGATTCTGTAATGAAAGATAAAGACGAATTCCCCGCTCTAATGGAGTTTCTATCATAGAGAAGGAACATCTAAAATGTAAATGTCAGATGATATACAAGCTAAGAAGAAAAATAAAGCAGAACAAATGAATAGAGAGTATGAATAGAGAGAGTGTGTTCAGGGAAGGCTTCACTAATAAGGAATATCTGAGCACATAGCTGGATGAAGTAAAGGAGCAAAGTTACGCGGAAATCTATAGAAAGAGTATTTCAGACAGAGGAAAGAATAAGAAAAAAGCACCTGAGGCAGAAGTCGAGTTGGTCTGTCCAGGACACCACTATGGCCAAAGCACAGTAAGGGAGGGCAGAATAATAGGAGAGATGAGATTGCAGATGTTGTAAGGGTGTGTGCACGTGTGTGTGTATGTGTGTGGTGGGGGTTTTGCGGGAGGGATTTCGGAGTCTTGGCAAGGATGCTGGCTTTTACTCTGAAATGGGAAATCACTGGAGGGTTTCAACAGAAGAGTGACATGATCTGACTTACATTTCCAAAGGATTACTCTGCTTTGTGGGACTACCCTTTAGGGCAATAAAGGTGTAAGCAGGGAGGCCAATTAGAAGTAATCCAAGTGAGAAATAAGGGCAACTGTCTCAGGGTGATTTGTGGTGGCAGGGATTTAGTACAGTGGTGTGGTTAACAGGCAAAAATAACTTCTGAGATAGTCTTAGAAGACAGTGACACCTCCTGGCTCAAAGAAAGACTGACAAAGTTTTACAACAGAAGAGAGCCGATGTAAAAGCCAAGAATGAAGTTTCTAAAGGAGAAAGAGAATGGTAGTATTCTGTAACTTGACAAAACCTAAGAAATTCATGGCCAACAAAAAGTACCCTAAGAATGAGACGATTCTCCTCGGAGGTTACAGCCTGGTAATATTACTGGGGGATGTGAGCCAAACACAAGGGCTATCTTGCTTGAGTGTGGCTATGACAGAGGGGTTTGTCCTGGGGCTCGTCTGGAATTCCTCTAAGGATAATCTGGGAGACTGGGCAAAGATGCCAGATGTGGTTGCAATGTGTACTGCAGCCCTGTGTGCTCTGACTCACAATTCATGCCTGCCTATGACTGGTCAATATGTTCTGTTAAATTCTTATATGATTTGTTTTCTAATTACATGTAAGCTATTTCTCATTATCATTTCTGGTTCTAACTTTGAGATACATCTTTTTCTGGGAAAGGGTGATGAAATTTCTTTTCAGTATTATTTGCAAATGTTAAGTATCAACTAGGTATCCCTATCAGTAACAAAGCAAAAAGTGTACCTCAGATGACCAGACAGAATGAATATATTACTCTAATTTTGTATACAAGAGACCTCTTAAGCACTCAGTACTTATAAGAAAGAGAATAGATATAAATCACGAATTCAATTTTACTGCACCTTCCTTCCACTTAAAATAATCATTATAATCCATGTTACTTTTTGCATAAAGATCTGAAGGCCTGGATAGTAGACAGTGATAAAACGGAGACTTGTAGAGTTATATTAAGACAAAAGAGGGCCCAGCCTACCGTGGTGATGTAGCGAGAGTGGAATTCTGGAGCATCTTTCAGGAACGTGAGGCCAGGGTGTGTATCGACCACATCCTAAAGAAGATTACAACCAAAACCAAATTAACAAACATACCAAAAAACAAAATAAAAAAACACAACAGAATTTTTCCTTCCTGTAGAATAAGTAGCCAGTTGAGCAAACCTGCTATTTTTAGAATACTGAACAACACACTTAAAATTTAACGTTATTAAATTCAAATTTTATTATAAACATACTTATGTGTGTCTTTTGATATGCTAGTATACTTCAATAAAGCATTAGAATTGTAATTTAACTATATTTGGTGCTTTATGAATCAAATGTCTTAGAGGTACATAATTCTAACATGTCAAGGCATGTCAGAGAAATGCACCACACAAATTCTGGGGTAGGGGTTAAGAGAAATTTACACAGAAAAGTGACAAGACATAAGCCAACTACAATGATTCTTTCTTAACCTAGAGACATGGGAAATTTCTGAGGGAAAAAAAATAGCCATGTAGCCAAATAGTTTGAAATCTATGTTAAATCATATGAGCCAGCTAAATGTCCATCAGAATAACTGTGCGGACAAATCTGTTTTTAATTTACGATTTTAGTTTTATTTTAAAATTTGCTATCTTGTTCTCAAGGAAGACTATTAGAATTTTAAAACCCTGAAATACCATTTTTCTTTTCTTTTCTTTTTTAATGTTCATTTTTGAGAGAGAGACAGAGACAGAGTGCGACTCGGGGAGGGGCAGAGAGGGCTTCAGGCTCTGAGCTATCCGCACAGAGCTTGATGAGGGGCTTGAACCCATGAACTGCAAGATCATGACCTGAGCTAAAGTCGGATGCTTAAATGGCTGAGCCACCCAGGTGCCCCAACCATTTTTATTTTCTAATTAGATTTTAAAGCACTTTGAATGAAACTGGAAAACCTATTGGAGATATTACCATTAATTTAATAACCAGAGGCAATAGCAAGGCCAGCATAGATATAAACTATTAATTGGTTAGTTATAAATGGGGAGACATCAATTATATTTCTTTTCTTTGATTCTTCAGAAAGGTTAGCTATACACACCTACCAACAAAGTCTCAAAGCAATGGACCTTACTATTTAACTTTTATTTAGAAATAATTTTAGACCTTTGGAAAAGTTACAAAAATAGTAGAGATTTCCTCTGCCCTTCTCCCAGCTTCCCATAATGGGAACAACTTACAAACCATAGTATAATGAACAAAACTAGGAAACGAACATTGATACAATACTACACTACAGACATTATTCAAATATCCCTTAGTGCTTTTTTCTGTCTCAGAATCTTACATGGCGTTTAGTTCTTGTGTCTCATTGGTCTCTCCCAATCTCTGACAGTTCCTCAGTCTTGTATTTTATGATCTTGACACTCTTAATGGGTTCTGGTCAATTATTCTTTTTTTTTTTTTTTTTAAATATTTTATTTATTTCTAGGAGAGAGAGAGAGAGAGAGAGAGAGAGAGAGACAGCGTGAGCAGGGGAGGGTCAGAGAGAGAGGGAGTCACAGACTGAAACAGGCTCCAGGCTTTGAGCTGGCAGTCAGCACAGAGCCCGACGCGGGGCTCGAACCCACGAACCGCGAGATCATGACCTAAGTGAAAGTCGGACGCTTAACCGACTAAGCCACCCAGGCGCCCCATCTGGTCAATTATTCTGTAGAATGTCTCTCAACATGGTTTAGTCTGATTTCTCATGATTAGATTAAGGTTACACATTTTCAGTAGGTATATCTCAGAAGTGGTATTGTGTCCTTTTCAGTCATACAAGAGTATGATGTAGATATGTCTTATATCTTGTAGAGTTAATGTTGATCACACTTGGCTTAAATGGTGACTGCTGGGTTTGGTATCATAAAATTATTTCCCCTTAATAGTTAATAAATATCATAGGGGGAGATACTTTAAGACTGCTAATATCCTGTTTCTCTGCAAATTTTTGCCCATTGATTTTAGCAGTCATTTGTGGAACCTAATTGTGACATTTATACTGTGGTGCTTATTTTGTATTTCCCTCATTCTTTCTACATTAACTGGAATTCTTCTGTAAGGAAGAGCTATCCCTCCACTCCCACATATTTTTCAGTTCATATCAGTATCACTCATGGGTATTTATTTTATTCTATGGGTTATAATCCAACACTATCATTATTTATTTTATTGCTCAAATTGATATTGCACTGGCCACTAGGAACTCTATCAGGTTGGCCCCTGTGTCCTCTTAACATGCCTCATCCTTTTGTAAGCACCTTCATGTAACATAACATGGTCCAGGCTCATATTATATTTTCCGTGTTACAATCCTGGAATCAACCCTTTTTCCCCAAAGAGCTCTGGCTCCTTTATTGGAAAATTGTTTTTAAAAACCATGTAGAAATCTGGGTGCTAGGTATGCTCCTGGACCCTCTTAGCAGGAAGAACTAGGAATATATGTAGGTATAGCAGCCGCCCCTTATCTGCTGGGGATACCTTCCAAGACTCCCAGTGGTTGCCTGAAATTACAAACAGTAGTGAACCCTATATATACTATGTTTTTTCCTATACATATGATAAATTTATAAATTAGGCCCAGTAAGAGGTTAACAATGAAATCAAACAATTATAACAATATACTATAATAAAAGTTACATGAATGTGATATCTCTCAAAATATCTCACTATACTCTGTACTCACAGATATGAGATGATAAAATGCCTCACGGTAAGATGAAATGAGGTGATTAACGTAGGCATTGTGAGGTAGCCTTGGGCACTACTCATCTGACATTATGTCAGGAGGATCATCTGCTTCTAGACTGCAGTTAACTCAATAACTGAAACTGCATATAAAGGGTGAACTCCTATATACTAATCCACACACACACACACACACACTTCTATTTCTTTCTATATTTGTCTATGTACACTAAAAACTACATAATTGTATAATGGGTTCTAACCACGAGGTACATTCTAACTTACCCTCTTTCCTTTGTAACTTTAACAGAATTGCCAACCTATATCCCATTGAGAAAAAAATTTACTAAACAGAGTACAGTATTTGTGCACAGTTCTTTTTGTCTTTAGTCTTACAGTGTCCAAGTAAAATACTGTTTTCCAAGGTTACTTAGGTTAGTTGTCTCCCATTCTTCCTTTATCCTCTTTGATGTGGTTATAATACAGTTTAGTTCATTTACTACTATTTATTATTTTGTTCTAAGTTTCTTTCCCAAAGGTACAGGTTGATTTTAATTCATTATTTCTTAGAGGGAGAGTGTTTGAATATTACTATGGTTCTTAGAGTCAGAGCTAACACAGAATTGACATCTTAACAATTTCAAGTTCTCCCACTCATAAAGACCTTGCTCTCCATTTATATAAATCTTATTTCATTTCTCTCAGCAACGTTTTGCTGTTTTCAGCATACAGGTCTTACACACATTTGTCAGATTCATCTCTACGTATTTAATATTTTTGGGTGATATTATAAATGGTATTTTTAAAATTTCAATTTCTAATTTTTGTTGCTGGTATATGGAAAGAGAATTGATTTTTGTATTCTGATCATGTCATCTGTAAACATTCTAAACTCTCTTATTAAATACAGTTTTAGCAGCATCCCACTAGCTTTGATATGTTGTATTTTCGTTTTCATTTAGTTCAAGATATTTTTTAATTTTCCTTTTGATTTCTTCTCTGACTCAGGTTATTTAAAAGTGTTAGTTACCAAATATTTGGAGAATTTTCAAAGATCTTTTATTCTTTCTAATTTAATCCCATTAAAGTCAAAGAAATCCTTTATTCTGTGATGATTTAGTTTCTGAACTAAATTTTAAAAATTTATTGAGATTTGTTCTATGGCCCAGAATATGGTCTATCTTGGTAAATATTCTGTGTACATGTTAAAGGACCATGTATTCTACTGTTGTTTGGTAAATGTCAATTAGGTCAAGTTGGTTGATAGTATTGTTCAAGCATTCTATATCCTTATTGATTTTTTTCTCAACTTGTTCATTATTGAAAGCAGCACATGGAAATCTACAATTATAATTGTGAACATAGCCTTGCAGTTCTATCAGATTTTGCTTCATGCATTGTGAAGGCCTATTATAAGGTGCATAAGCATTTAGATTCATCATATTGTTATATTGTTTATGAATTGTTGTATTCTTGATGAATTGATCCCTTTATCATTCTTGTTATATTCTTCATGAATTGTTATACCCTTGATGAATTGTTACATTCCTGATAAACTAACTGATCCCTTTATCTTTCCCTAGCAACATGACCTGCTTTAAAACTTTGTTTGATACTAATATAGCCACCCAGCTTTCTTTTCTTTTTGTGGCAAAAAAACCCCCACATAACATAAAATTCATTCTCCCAACAATTTTTCAATGTATAGTACAATGATGTCAACAACTTGTCCATTGTGTGACAGATCCCTCCCACTCCAATCATGCATGACTGAAACTCTACACCCATCGAACAACTCCCCACGCACCCTTCCCCCCAGGCTCTGACAAGAAATTCTTCTTCCTGGGAGCCTGACTACTTTAGATACTTCAAATACGCAGAATAGTGCAGTATCTGTCTTTTTGTAACTGGATTATTTCACTTAGCATAATGACCTCAAAGTTTATCCACGTTGCTGTATGTGACGGAAGTTACTTTCGTTTTAAAGGCTGAGTAATACTTCATTATATGTATATACTACATCTTCTTTGTTCATCATCTGATAGACATTTAGGTTGCTTCTACTTCTTGGCTACTGTCGATAAGGCTCAACCAACACAGGAATGCATAAGATCTCTTTGAGATTGTTTTCAATTCTTTTGGAAAAATACCCAAAAGTAGTATTGCTGGGTCATACAATAGTTCTATTTTAAATTTTTTGAGGAACCTCGATACTATTTTCCATAGAGGCTATACTATTTTACATTCTAACCATCAGTGTGTAAGTATTCCAATTTCTCTACATCCTCACCAACGCTTTTTTTTTTTTTTTTTTTTTTTTTACAGGTATGAGAGGGTATCTCACTGTGATTTTGATTTG